GGGTAATATGTGTAACAATGTACATCTGTGATATATAATGTTAAAATGACACAAAGTCTGGGTAAACAGTTATTACATGACACTTTTAGGCCTTAGTGAATAAGTGGAATGTTTGAGATTGAGTTTCCATCTTATAAACTGTCATTGAATTTGTGTAAGGGCCCAACTTATGGACACACTTTGACAGGGGGGATTTTGCTATTTGAGTCTTTCTGACCTAACAGAACGCACACAAAGCCAGACTTCACTATTTACATATACATCATCAGGACTGCTTGTCGAATGGTAAAATAGTTTCAGAAACCACCTCACAAAAATCCTGTCTGAGGTTAAGTTGGGGTCTGTGTCTGATCACTTCTTCAAATTTGCCAAGTAAACAATTTCACATTCACACCCGCTTCACACTTTGATTGATCAAGAGAGCTCTACTGCTCAGCTTTTCAGATTTCCTTGACAACAGCTCAGCCACAGAGTAAAGACACTCACAGATCATAAATGACATCTGTGCATTTAAAACATTTCTCAGCAAGAGCATCAACCTAAGCCTGACAGCTCAGCCCAGCGTGAGGCTCCCTGGAGAACGCCTTCACTATGTCAGGGGTCTCCTCTTCCATTAGCAGCCCTGCCAGGAGAGCAGCAGCAACCGCTGCTTACAACCCATGCCTGGCTGAGTAATGAGCACACAGACAATTAGGACAAGCTTCTAACTGATCTCTTAGGTGGTATGAGTCGACTGCAGCACAGCAGATGAAGTGCTCAATTAGTCGCTCTTCTTCTGGAGGATGCGACAAGCAATCTTCATTATTCTAATGAATAAACATGAGCAGAGCTGCTGGAGTGTTGTTCAAGAACGCTAACGTGTGTCAATATGAAATACACTTTCATTAATTTTAATTGAGCAGTTTATTGAGTTACCTGTTGTGGGGGGAGTCAGGGGGTTGTAAGGACTGTCGCTTGCAATAAAAATGGCAATAAAACAATAAGTAGGAATCCGATCTCTTACATGATCTCTGTCAGAACTGACCAATATGACCTTTGCTTTCAGGGTTCTTATTGAAAATAACACTAAAATTGAGCACACACACACACAGATGATCATCGGGTCAATTTGGGCTCAGTATCTTGCCCAAGGACACTTTGACATGTGGTTTGGAGGTGCTGGGGATCAAACCACGACTTTAGGCTTCGGACTCTCTTAGATAAAGAGTTTTTGGTTTTGTTTGTCACAACTATGTTCAGTTGTTTCTTTCTACGTTCTGTTTCCTGTTTTATTTTGAAGTTTTGCTTCTTATGTTTCTAACTTGACTTCCTGTCTTTGTCCTGTTTCCTGCCCCAGTCATTGTCTGCACTTGTTCCACAAGTGTCTCACCTGTGTTCAGTCGTCCTGTGTGTATAAGTCTCTGTGCTTCCCTTTGTCTTTGTCAGTTTGTTCTTCTTTCACTGGCCTTAAATCTTTTCGTAGTCATTCACCTTCATATCCTTGGCTTGTGACTTTTTCTTGTTCTTGTCTAGTGTTTTCTTTTGCTCCCAGTGGTTGTAGATTTTTTTGGACTTTGTTTTTTGAACATTAATTTCTGTAAGTACCTTTGCCTTTTATTAAAGGACACTTTTTATTATTCTACTTGGCTTCTGCATTTTTGGGTCCACCTGCTCTCTACACTGTAACAATACGTGGATGATAGTGAGTGGACGATCCACTCTACCTCCTGAGCAACAGCCGCCACTGTCATTTTCTATTGTCTTGGGATTCTGTTGTACTTTATGAACCTCAGTAGTTTGTCATCATAGCAGTATGTATTTAATGATGAAGCCATGTTTTGACGTGATGACAGAATATATGAGTAAACTAAATAACAGACTGACTCATCGTGTACGATAGTTGGTCCATCGCGGGTGGCCGCCTCCTCTTTAATGACATTGATGAGCTCGAAGGTGCTGCTGATGGATGCATCAGGGTTCGGCCACTTTGGGCATTGAAAGTGACGAACCTCTAAAACATAATCGTCCTGGTTGTCAAAAGAGGAAACAGGCAGAAAGACAGAGAGAAAGATAAAGGTTAGACGAGGGATGTTTGATGTAGAACAGTCATACTTAATTTGTCAATGTAACTTTAATCAAATGAAATAGAGATTTTCTGTTTCTGATAGGACAGCACTTCATACAATCTGAGTCTAGAGTGAATCAATGCACTGAACACAGCTCAAACATGAAAAAAGATTTATCTTATTTGAAATAGTAAAAGAAACAGGAAATCAAGTGTTTACACATCTGCATTCATACTGTGTCCACATTCTTTTAATGTGGACACATGCCAGACCACCTCCTGGAGTGATAAGATTGCTATCCGATCTCAGTGCATTCACAAATGTACTAAGACACACACACACACACACAACCTGTGTAGCTTCAAGGATGAAGTCATGGATGCTGATCTGCTCCTCGTTGGACAGACAGAGTCGATCTTTACTGATGAGGGTGACAGTAAATGCCTCACAGTTCATTGCCTCCTCCCGACTGGGCCAGTACACAAACTCATCTTCTGCCTGCAGAAGAGGAAACACAATACTGTCTTTATTAGTCAACGATGTAAAACAGCATACATTATTCACTGTGAAAACTTTCTGTTCAGAAATCTATACAGGTAGGTGAAAAGCTCCACTTTAAGTAGATAAGAGTGAAACAATGGCAGCATATATAAAAATCCTGTTCTATTCTTGCAATTATTGTAAGTAGACCTATGGATAGATTGAATGATCTATACAAAAGTTTGAATATATGATTATCTGAATTTAAATTGAGCACAACCCATCAATGAATGTCTCATGCTAAAGAGGCTGTGTCACATCAAACCACTGTGAGATAGGATGTTTGCAATCCATGTGTGTTTGTGTATTTGGCTGGATGCTTATCCGTTCATATGTAACTCATGCTTCATAAAAGTCAGGAAACTGCCAGATGAGCACAAGTTGGTGATTGTGTGGTGGTCACTTTGCTGCGTGCGTGATGATGTCTCTGATTCATAATAACTTAAACACAGGTGTGAGAGGCAGAACCACACACAGTTGCCCACATACTTAGGAAGATGGTGGCGTACGTACATGCACAGTGTGTGTCTGTGTGTGTGTGTGTGTGTTAGATTCATACCAGTCCGTGGTTGGCAGGGAGCATAACAATAAGTTGTGCATTGTGGTCCCAGATCATTCTCCAAAAGTCTTTTGTGGTGTGGGGCAGAGGATGCTGGGTAATTATGAATTCATTACTACAGAAGTACCCCTGTAGAAAAGTTAAGAAAATACATAAAATAAGGTTAAAGGGAGAATGACAACAACAAATTATGGCATCAGCTGATGACAGGATGATAGTGAGCTGCCGAGCTGTGAGTTAATTGTCACACATACATGTAGTTAAGTGACCTCACCTGACAAAAGTCATATTGTCACACATACCTGCTTTTTACAGGCTGTTTGGATTCAGAGGCTAGTCTGATCTTCTTAGTCACAATTTAAATGGATAATCTTCCAATTTGACACGTCAAAATCATGTCAGTACTTGTGGAGAGTACTACTCAGTCCATGAAAACGATGATATCATGACTTTTTGGGTTTTGGCTGGGTTTCAAGAGAGCAGGAAAATGTCAATTAATTTCTGCTCAAGACTTAAGACTTGACATTTTTAATTTGAAGCTTTATTCAGAAATGACAGGATGGAGTAGAGCATCTAACCCACAACCAACAGAACCTCTCAGGTCATCACATCATAATCAAAGCTTTCAGAGGTGAGACAGACATTGTCTGAGGTGCAGTTACAATATCCTCAGGTCTATAGCACTTCTGACTGACTTTTGGAAATTAATGTTACTGGTGTATTTTTTATTATTTAGTTTTGCATTGAGGGGAAGTATAGATCCAGTGTATTTGGAGCTTGACCCATCCTACTGAACAGAGCTGGCAAAAGTACTCACATTCTTTACTTAAGTAAAAGTACAGATACTTGTGTAAAAAAAGAATCTGGTAAAAGAAGAAGTACTGATTCAACTCCTTTACTCAAGTAAAAGTAAGAAAGTACAGGCTCTGAAATGTACTTAACAATGTTCTTCTGATAACTCGGCAAATGAAAAAAGTTGTAGGCAAACATAATAAGATAGTTTTCCTCTTTTGTTAACAACCTGCACAGAGCTGCTACAGAGAAAAACAATCACTGGACACGGTCTGGTTTTGCTGCCAAATTCAGAATAATAAAGACTGAACTGAACCATGGTCCTGCATGAGCACCTGGGTCATTTTTTACAGGGAATAAATGGATGGGGAATGTGCTGGCCCTGTTTAAGTCCCTGCCTTTTGTACACAGCACGCGTCATTACTACTTCGGTTAGCCACGGCAGCCAACCTCCGGATGCTTAGGGTCTCGCGCTGCCCCCCGACGGCACACACGCCGCTGGGGCCTGCACGTGCCAGCGAGAGGTGCTCCGTTCGTAAAAACAAGTAATGATCCAGTTTTGAGAATGTAAGGGGTAGAAAGTACAGATATTTGTGTTCAAATGTAGCGAGTAAAAGTAAAAACTTGTCAGGAAAATAAATGGTAAAGTGCAGATACCTGAAAAATCTATTTAAGTATAGTAACAAAGTATTTGTACTTTTCACCTCTGCTACTGAATAAACTCTGATTTTATTTTGCAGTCCTTTTTTTTTTAAAACTGATGTGACTTGCTTGAGTCAAACATCAGAGAAGGGGAGGGTTAATCAGTGACTGATAGAAGAAGTGGATGTACTGACCATGATATAAGATGCATTAATGTAATCGGTGCCCTTGATGCCAGGTAAGGGTGCCAGGCCGACTCTAGCTCGCTCCGCTGTTCAGAGACAGACAGAAAGGTGAGGTAGAAAGGGAGAGTGGTTGGCATGGAGAGAGGAAAAGAATAGTAATACATCAGTTTATTACAATAGATCAAGCCCATAAAAAGGCCACTGTGTGTATCCTGCTTGCACTGTTGGAGTGCATTGCATTGGCTAAGTGCAGATAGTTCTTTGTAATTCTTGGCTTGGGATTCAGAGAAGATTGGAACAACCAGTATCAGATTATGTAACAGCTTTAAACAAAAGATATTAGCTGAATGACGATACTGAAACCAGTCAACCTTCAGACAGCTTAGTTTTCCAAATATTAAGTGTTTTGTTTTCTTGGGGTGGGGGGGGGATATATAGCAATAGCAGAGACAGATAGGACCAGTGGGGAAGGACAGCAGCAGCAAACAGCCTGGAGTTGACTGCTCAGTGCATTGGCACCCATGTGTCATAACCATTCAACCATCAGATCGCCGCAGCTAATGAGTTTTGGAAAGCTGGTATGAAAATGATAATCAGGGCCTTTCTGTTCCCATTTCAGAAACTCACTGCAACAGACATTTTGGGGGAATTAATAAATTGCCTCAATGTTATGTGCAAATATTACATTTTGTAAACGTACAGTAACTCATAAAGTATTGCTTTATGGTGACAAAAACGGTAATATAGACATAGAGGTTTGTTACATTTAAAGATGACTTGCTCTGCAGGGCTTAGAGAAGGTAGCAAGAATAGGTTTTTATGAACATTTCAGATGGAGTGAAAGGCAAATTACAGAAAGAATTTGTTGTCATTGTAACAGAAACGGTCCTTTATTACCATTGGATTTCAAAGGTTGGTGCTCGTTCAGTTCCTGTTGCTGCCCTGTTTGAAAAGGACTGATTGCAGGTTCAAGCTTTATAGTGAGGCTGATAATTACTTGACAACTGGCTGAAGGCAGCCTTTTTAGTTTTTCATTAAATATATGGACTTACAGGGTGCCATGACCTTTGACCAACCGACTGTTTTCACCAGACACAGTGCTTGGCTCTATGCTGGACAAAACTTTAAGCTAGTTTGGAGTCACTATCAGATGCTCTATGTTACCAAAATTGGTCATGGACTCTACATTAATTATTAAAAAAAAAAAATCATCTATCCGTGCCCAACAGTGCACAAATGATCACACTTGCTTCCTTGCATTGTTTATTGATTTCCAGCAGGTGATTAATCTATAATGCAGATACTCTGTATTTAATATTTTGAAGGGTTTCTATCACTGCCCAGGAGGTTATGTTTTCATTGGCATTAGTTTGTCTGGCTGCGGATATCAAATGTTTTTGTTTACAACATATCGACACTGGTATGTCTACTACTTGTATGGAAACACCTTTTTATCCCGATATATTTGATAATTTTTTGTTAAAATTTTTATCAACGCACCCACTCACGCTAAGTGAATCCCCCGGTGGATCTCCTCGTGTGTTCTCACATTGGCTCACTCAGACATTATCTGGAATTTTTACAAGAAAGCTGGCCAAGGAAAATCCGTGAAAAGTCCAGAGCCTCTCACTCGGACATTTAAATACTCACATACAGTCGCTCTGGAGAATGACAGGAGACTGTCCAGAGTTCTGTGTATGTCTGACAGCAGTTATAACAGGATTACATAAAAAGATTACTCTGATGACACTTATTTCCATGAAGTGTTTGAATGACCCAGGGAGGAACCCAGTCAATTTTGGTGGCACTTAATCTTTTCTTTCAGATTTAATAAATGTTTACATGGATGTAACACTCACATGGCACGACAGATGAATTTCTATTTTTCTCTTTGTTGCACTCCTTCTGAGCATTGAAGCAGTCCATGACTCTGGAATTGCACTGCGTTACCAGCTGTAAAAGAACAGAAAAAGAGAGGGAGTGAGTGTTGACAGACTGACTGATCCAAACTAGGAGGTTGTTTCATTTTAATAAATATGGTCAGATTTAGGAGAAATTTTCCATTTTAACTTACTGACTTAAAGTGTGGTATTGTCTCAAATGTATTTCCTCATTTCTCCTCACCTTTACCTGAGCCCATTTCAAGAAAATGTCCTCTCTACATGTCGTATCTTTCTGCTGGAAAACTGTCCGCTACTTGGTCCAATATCCTTAAGATTTGGATTCTTGTGCATAGTAAAGTGTGCAGAGTGTTGTCTTGATTGTTGTTGACTGTATTGTATAAGTTCAACACATGTGTGCATATGTTATACACATACAAAATGCAAAGAATACAAAACAGAGAGCGGAGGCTACTTTGACAGGTGTACCTGCTGTTCTCTCCTGTTTCCGCTGTTTGTACTACGCTAAGCTCAACATGTCGAGAACTAACGAACTGCATATTCAGTTAAGGGTGAAGTTGTACAGATTTGTACAAATTGTACAAAATGAATGCGTCTTTATCCTATTCATATTCATAGTACAATGAATTTGAAAAACAGGAATGCACTTCTCCCACACTGCTGGTTAGATGTACTGTGTTTGTGAGTCATCAAGCTTCTCATTAAACATCGTAAAAGAGAAAGCAGCTCACAATAGAAAATCCTCATCTAAGAACAAGATTATTAAGCAACCAGGGGAAAAACCAAACGACTGGAAACAATTGCTTCATTCAGCAGTTTGAACCCTCTCATAAAGTCATACATTCATTAGCATCACACAGAAAGGCATTGTTCTCTGTTCACACTTCATCTACTTTAGACTTTGGACATGGGTGCAGCGTATGTGGTGAAATATCAGCAGCCACATACTCTCCTGTTGTCAAGACTTAGCACAAGTCTTGACAACAGGACAACACACCAGGGCTAGATGATGAGATTGAAAGCAGGATAATTACTTTAGTATTCAATTTTATTATTATTTAATTTGTTACATATTAATAACCCCCCAGTTTTTATTAGACTTTTAATCAAAGTATTATCATTCAATGAATTACCAAAATCTTCAATTATTTATTTGAATGTCTTTGAAAATGAGAAAATTAGAGTTGAGACCATAAGCTTATAGCCAATGACAAAGTATCTTTTTAAATTGAGTCAAAACAGATTACTCACAGATGATTTTTTAAAGATAATTGTTGGATTTGGGAGAAACATGCAGCAGAAGACCTGAAAGACACTGCCAAGGACCAAACAGTCTCGGCCAGATGAGTCAGAGTCTCTTTGGCTCTGGTGGTGGTGAGTAATGAGGCACCAAAGGCTCTACTACACTCGTCATAATGTTTTGGCAAACCAGTTTACATTTTCATCCAAAAAAATTGGTGTTATGAAATTCACTCTTGACCAGTTTTGCCATCAGTGTTGACGCATGTGTCCCTTTACCTTGAACTGTTTATCCAGACGTATCCGGCCAGTGTGTCCTGGTGTTGTGATGCTGGTGAAGTAGCTTTGAAGCTGGCTAGCTGCAATTTCTGTCTCCTTCCCGAAAATAGCTTCCATCAAGGCATTATGGATGAAGATGTACTGCTCCTGGATGAGAAAAGACAAAAAAGATGTTTAACAACAGGTATAGAAGATCATTGTACAGGTGTTCTCACACATACACACTTACAAATGAATGATTTTGAGTTTTGAAGCCCTTAACGATACATTTGTATTTAAATAAAAGCAAAAGTATTAGTCATTTGCACATTTGCTTTCGCTATGCAAATATATCTGTCTGTACAAAATCAGGTGCATCTGCAGCCAAAACAGAAGAAGTTAGCCCTTTTCTACTCGGGTCAGTGAAGGGAGCCCAGTCCGGAAATATGTGTCCAGCACGGTCTCATGTGCACCCTGAATGACAGAGGGCAGAAGAAGACTGATGGAAAAATCCATGGACTGTATAGAAAGATGGATGATAAGACAGCTCCCAAAAGCGAAGCCAAACATTTTGATTGCACCCTGGTGCCTGGCTGCAGTGAAGGCCACAAACCCTGACCCCTCTATGTTAGCAAATGAAACATGGAACAAGGTAAAAAAAAAAAAGAGTACACATCAAATACATTGATTGAAAACAACAATGCCTGACAATTAGTCCAACGCATGTATTGATGGGAAAATTATATCACGGCTCCACTCCATGATCACTATGCAGACCTCCAAATGACATCACCAGTGCAACCGGGCATGACCCAAATCCATAATGTTTTGGCCTAATTTTTGTATAATGAGAGCAAATGGAGAAGCATTTTCTATCTTTAATGACAGACATTGGCAAACACTTCATGTACATTTTGGTTCCACCTGCACACGGATGCAACAGATTTGTTACAACAGTCCTAGTGGCCAGTTCCACTATGGAGAGAGTTCCGAGGCTTGACAAACATTCTGTTGGCATTATTTCTACTAAATCAGTACTTAACAAAGCCTGATAAGATTCTGAACCAAAAGTGCTCGCAATTGCCAAGGCTGTTGTTAGCACACCTGCAGCCAACATTAAAACCTCCATGGATGATGAAACATTAAGCGAGGCATCAACCTCTTTGGCTTGTACAGTTGCACTTGCTGGACCTCCAGTATCAGCAGGAATTAATGATGAATGATGCAAACTGACATATTAAGATGCAGGTTTGAATCAAGTCCCTGTGCTTACTTTATTGAGTTTTATAAGGTACCAGCAGATAAAACCTTTGAAACTAAACTCATCAGAGGAAACAATTAGGCCAGTACATTTTTTGTTGTCCATGTTCTCCTAATTAGTATAATGTTAAAATTCCTAACAAGTCTCCCAGATATTTGGTTCACACACAAACATGGATATACCAACCTCTGTCTGGACTAGGTAGTTGCGCTGGCTGCGTATGTGTTTGAGGAAGCCGAGTACATTTACTGTGCTCTTGTCTTTGAGCTGCTGCAGCATACTGTCGATGACGATGTACGTCCCCGTCCGACCCACTCCAGCACTGCAACACAACACGGTGAAACTGAGAATCAGCACATGCCAAATGACATTAGAGCGGATGATGGACTCAGACATGAAACAGTGAGGTTACAATTACATGGCCTTACAAGGTCTTAAACTGTTAAAGCAGCCAATAATGAACTATCAGAAGATTTTTCTTTTGAGTAAAGACATCCAAATTCCATAGCACAACTTTTGGCATCTATATTCACAGTATCTCAAGATGGAAAATGGGTATTGTGTTAATTTTTCATTTAAAATGTGTCCTTTATGTGACACAATATGCAAATCCACCAAAAAGTCGAACAGCAATTAAGGTGCAAGTCTGAATTAAAGAGCACATATTAATAGAGAGAGATTACATTGCAAAATGGGACTTAAATTATCTTGTTTCACATTAAGTCTGCAAAGGTCATATGCAGCCGTATGAAATGTTAGTAATGGGGCAGTGTGACAACTCTACATCCCCCACCCACCACCAGCAATAACCAGTGCACTCCCTGCCTGCCTTAATGTAAAAATACAAACTGACAATAGTGATTGCAGGTTTACTGATGCTGCTTAGTAAGAGAGCCAATTAAAGTTGAAAATTGAAAACTGCAGTAAAAACAGCTATTAAGTGGGAAACGCACAAACACATTGGCGTTACCAGCTGTATGTTCATTTGTAATGTGTCTGCTACTACAAATTGAATAATATTGTGCCATTGGGGCAGCTAAATAATTCGAGGGTGGAATGAATGCCTTTGTTTCACAATAATAATGACATAGACAGAATGACCACAGTGTTCTTCTCTCATGAAAAGGGATTTGCAATCATAGACTCATTATCCAAAACCTAGATTATCGAATGAAATGACAGAGTAAGACTATCTTAATGTGTACATTGACAACACAGTGTGAGGAAGGATCTCAAAGTGAAGTGAAAGTAGAACAGAGACATTACCTGCAGTGAACAAGCATGGGCCCCATATCAGGCATCTGAGCCCCTGAGGACCTGCGGACAAAGGTGAGGACAGGCAGGGTGTACTCTGGGACACCCATGTCTGGCCACTGGGTGTAATGATACTGGAGCACTGTCCGTTCATTCTGAGCCCCTGCCTTAGAGTTCCCCTTCCCACCCTGGATGCAAGAGAAGAAGGAAAGGAGAGAAGGAAGAAAGGTTCATTAGAATAGATAAGAATAAAAAGACAAAATGGATTTGGTAGCATCAAGTGAAGGGGGCTAACTAAACTTTACAAAATGGTCAGGTTCTCATTTTAAACCACCTCTCACCCCAATTTACTTATGAAAGCTCAAGACTGAATAGATCCTATCATCTGTTCAGTGAAACTAAATAATGACTTTCAAATTACAATAGCAGCAGAATAAAGGGAACATGGATCCTGAAAGCTTGATAAGATTTTTTCACTATTTTCAGAATCAGTCATATTTAATTAATTCCCATCTTTAAAATGAAAACCAGAGTTCATCCTCAATCTGTCCAGACAGGAAGTCCCACCTCTTGTCTGTTATTCTCACCTTTTTGACTTTAGTGTTGCGCAGTGTGAAACAGCGAACAGTGTAGCAGGCATGAACCTTGGTGCTTTTCAGTGTTACTACCATGTTGCCGTACTCTTCACTGTTTTCTGTTGGCCAGTACTGGTCACATTTTCTCTGTGTTGCACACACACACACACACAGACACACACACGGATGGACAAGTTAAATTCAGTTACCTGATGAACCCCTGCCACCTTCAGGACTCTACAGCACACTCAAATTAACATAGCTTCCACATCAAGAACATCCATCCCTTAACCTCAAGTACTGACATGTGTAGGATAACCCCAGAAACAGGACACTACAGGTTCATACATATTTCTCACAGTGGACACTTTCACTCTGCCGAGCAGGAAAACCTGCAAGCACGCACAGCACCAAGTTCTCATTCATATCTGTTGCATAAGCATAAAATGGTGCAACAGAGATGTGTACATACATCCCACAGAATGGTTGAGTTAAAATGAACTTGATCACATGTGTACCTGCACAGAAACTGTGACACTTGCGAGAGAGATGGTCAAAAATCATGATCTATAATAATGTATTATCAATATTGTTATAATTAGTAAATCTATAAATTATTTTCATACAATTTAGTGATCTTTCTCACGGGTTTAGCTTCAAAATATCAAACCAATAAATCTTATATCCACAGTGTGACGCTGAGGCCAGTTGTATTGTGCTTGTGTTCCTCAGAAGCTTATTATAATATGATGAAAATCTTAAACAATTGAGCACCTGCTGTCCCAGTCACTCTTGTACTGCCAAGAACTGCATCAGAATGTGTCAGGTGCTAGATTCTGTCTCTCCTCTCCAGAAAATTAGCCCTTAATATCCTGAGTTCTCTTCATCTACACCACATTCTCTGATGAAATGATCATCACATTACATCCAATTTCATTGTAGAACTGGAAACATGCCTTTATACAGATTTCTTACAAAACCTTTAAGCTCTGTGAATATTTGAGCAGTTAACCATTGTGCTGCGACACACAAGGTCTATCATCTGTCTTATTCTCTCACCTCACCTGACACCTACACCTGCAACACCTGCACTCAGCTTACTGTGACGTCATCCTGTATATGTTACATATCAACATACTGTATATGCTTAACAAACAACCAGTGGTGAGCTTCAGGGCCTGAGACTCCACTGGTTGGACCATACTCTGACACTGTGTAGTACAGCAAGCCAATAACGTGCACTGTGAAGTTTCATGAAAAAATTCAGGATGGCTTTCGATTTCTGCTCCAGAAACAAAAAGTATAGATTATCAATTGTAGGGGGATGGAAGGACGGACAAACTGACTCAATTTATCACCCAGAGAAGATCAAACATTGCAACACATCTTAGAACCTTGTCCAATCCAAAAACCTACACTGCACTTGATAGTACTTACCCTTCCTTTTTCCACTAAGTTGGTAATCATGACGATGACACTCGTATTTTGTTCCCATACCATCCTCCAGAAGTCCTCATAAGTGGACTTGAGAGGTCCCTGGGCCGCAATATAAGCTTTAGGCTTATTGTAACCCTGATGAATGAAGAGTGGAGAGGTAAACCATTAGTTTGGCAATATGTGGCATATGAAAAAATGATATAACAATTACAAAATTCTTCCAAAGCTTAAGAAAGTGTCTAAGATATGTTCCAGATGTTTGTATTCTTGCAGTCATCTTCTGCAAAATATTGTCCTTATCATGTGCGCACACACACACATACACACACAGATCAGTATTCTAGATCCCCAGTGGAAGCACTCACGTCTACATAGTTGGCATTGATGTAGTCTGTGTGTTTGGAGTCCTTCCCAGCCAGTAGCCTCAGCTTCACCCTGCTGTGGTCATCTTAGGAGAAATCAATGAATAGTAAAATAGTTAGACTGAAACCATAGCTATCGTTAGCTCCAACACAGTACTGTCCATGTAACGTCAATATGCTGCCAAGACACCAACCGAAAAGCACATTAACCTTTGTCGTTAAAACACTGGTCAATCTGGTCTTTCACCTGTCCTCTGCCTTCAGCACGCACTTTAATATATACAAGACTGAGCTGCTTCCAGCCACAGTGTGAGACATGTGGGACCAAAGCCCTCAAGCACCATGCCTGTATGTGGTGTTTTTGCTTAACAGGGTTTGTGTTAACTTTTTGTTAACAACTCACATCTACAATTTCAGCATTTGATACAAGAACAATTTGTTTGTGTTTTGCTTTGTCAATTACACATTTTCAAAGATGGAGGATTTGGTATGATTATTCATGGTCCCACAAGGACTGCATTGACGACAAGACTTTGTGCCACTATCTGAGACAAACATCCAGGAATATTTGGCTGAGAGTCGAATGGGTACATGTCCTTCAGTGGGGAAATTCACGATTCCCAGATATCTTTAATTCAAGGAAGTTTCCCTTCACACCACAATACTTACTTTCAATATTCATGGACCCCAGAGGAAACCTACTGATTTTGATGATCCAGCTGCCTTTCCTCCAGGACCAAAAATCTACCACTTGCACACACAATCTTACAGTGGCTTATTCATTCACCTTTAATGCTCAGTGTTCAGCGTTTCAACTGATATCTTAGTCTTTTGTGTAATTCTGACTCTGAGGTTTTATTTTGATCACAGTGAGCGTTTACCATTAGAAATATAATATCAATGAAAATAAATTGGCTTAACTAACTGACATTAAATTAAAACTGCCCCTGACTGTGGATGAAATGGCTCTGAATAGATTTTCAGTGGAATGTGGTGCTGGTGGTTGAATGGGAGACAGGGTGAAATTCAGAGCTGTGACAATGCCCCACTTCCACTGTGGCATTTTAAATGACACCAGCGATTGATACATTCATTCATTTTGTTACAGTGGTTAATATTTAAAGTGTGTACTCACAGGCCACTATGTTGATGTATCTGTTTTTGTGCTTGTTGTCAGGATGGTTGGAGTGCTCTGATGTGATCTTCATATCAGCAGTACACCGTTGAACAGCCTGGGGAGGAACAAACACACACACACACACACACACTCTGGCATGTCATTCCAATGCATTTGTACACTTGTGTCAAAAGGTTACATTTCTTGAACATTAACTGTGGATGTCCATTGTAAATAAATAAATGGTAAATGGTTGTATTTATATAGAGCTTTTCAAGTCTTGATGACAACTCAAAGTGCTTTACACTACAGTTTGCCATTCACTCATTCACACACACATTCATACAGTGCATCTATTAGCAGCACTTTTTGTTGTTCTATGGGGCAATTTGGGGTTCAGCATCTTGCCCATGGACACTTTTGCATGCAGATGGGAAGACTGGGGATCAAACTTCTGACCTGGTTGGAGTATGACCGCTCAACCCCTCAGCCACAGCCACCCCACAATGTCCCCATAGGATGAAAAGGACCTAGTTGTAAAAGTTACCTTACACACCATGTTCCACAGAGGATGAGCACTTTCCATTTTGCATGCCATGAGCCTTTTTGCAGCACTGCCCCCAGGACACAGTGTCACCTGTAAGTGCTGAATGATGCAGAATCTAGGTGCTGATGCTTGTGCTTTAGGTCTAAAGCCTCGTTTAACTGTTGATTGCTCATATTTATATGACATACGCTTTATATAGATATCATATCATATATTTTTCCAGTGCTTTCTTTTTAAATGATTGCTTGCAGTTCATCACACAGTGGAAGTTTTGTAGTTAATGTGAATTGTTTTGTAACTGTTATGCAGCCTATGTCTCTCACACAAAGGCTGCTCTACTAGTTCTACCTGTTTGGGCTGATTCCAGCTCCTCAGCCTCTCTGTCTTTCTTCCTCTTTGGTGACAGCAGGTGCTTCTTCCTTCATACCTTTAACTCGAGCAAGATTCTTTGCATGGCATGTTAAAATTATCTTCTTGACCCGAGGCCTCAGCGAAGCATGTTGAGAAGTAACAACTACAATGAAATCACATGATTCAACCTGGAGGTATTTTGTTTTAGATCTCCTGTATTCCATCTTCATATGATGGAAACTACAGAAAGCAGTTCTGGGATCTGCAGCCTGCAAACTGCTGTGAGCTGAGCATTGCCAACAGGGAGGGCAGGCCCTGGATTTGGCTCTGACCCTCGTGCCATTCTCTTTGGAGCTTTACAGGCCAATCGACTTGTTTTATCACTATTAAACTCGGTTTCATCTTGCCAAATCGGATGGGGCTTTATTTGGGGTGAAGCAAACTTCCCCTTTGAGCACTTGAGAGGCTGCAGGAATGATAGGGAAAGATTTGACTGGAGATAATATCCTACAGATGGGTGATGTGATCTGCTGATGGTACACAAACCTGTAAATAGTATACATGTATTTGTGCAGAACCACATACAAAGACACACATGCATTAATATTTGCATGCACACATATGTATTCACACACACACAAATATGTCCCATTTCTGTTGCTGTCTTGAAACACGATCATGGTGTGATGCCATGGTTTCCTCTTCTCTTGTTCTTTCAGGCCGACACGGTGATGCACAGTGTCACAGCCTAAAGTACATGAAACCACTGTTAAATAATAACTAACGAATCCTTTCAGGATGTGAGAAGCTTGCTGTCAACGTTTGATCCTCTTTACGCTCAAAAACAAAAAGGTTTATGGATTTGGGTTAAAACAATTACTTTGTTGTTTGTTTGTCTTTCATTGTCATGACAATGATACTAAGCTTGTGGTTATGGTTATAGGATTGTCGTGGTTAAAGGAAACTGTGTTGAATGTTGTGCAGAAACAGGAAATGAAGAGTTGTTTCCTGCAATGTTTTGTTAACTGATCGACCTCCTCTCTCTCGCCAACTTTGTGTCTGCATAACATCACCAGTTTCTCCTTTGCTCATCTCATGGTTACACTAGAGGGATCCATCAGCTCAACATAAACATGTCATTTTGGAGCTTATGCAGAAAAGACTGCTGGTCACATATAGCTGCTGGCACAAACAACAACAACAACACATTTTTCTATGGGAGACAGGCTCTACATTTTCTATCAGAGTGTGAACATTTGTACAGATGGTTAAATAATGAAACAAAAGCCCAACATCAGTTGTGTGATGGTGAGGTGTTTTTTTTCTTTCGTGCCTCAAATACAACTTTAGTGCTACTCATGCAGTAGATTTATTTTATATTTGTGTAATGTGAACTTTGTCAGCTATCTTTATTTAGTTTACATAAAATCATTAATTTGGTCATATTTTAAAGTTTAATGGACAATTTTCCTCAAACTTCAGCAATTTTATGCTCAGAGAAAAATTGTAATGAAAATGAGCCACATGCAAAGCGGCAGATTGAATGATTAGGATCAAAGCTTTGTGGAGAGGGTGTCTGGTCTGAAAACATTCATTTACATCTGTACAAAAGAGCAAAACCAATACAGTCCAGCTCTTGCAACACTAGCCAGTGGATGCTATGATTGATCATGTGAACCTTGGTAACCTCTTTTTGAGTCTGAGAGTGTTTTAAACGGACGCATTACAGACTGCATATCTGAAAAAAGCCACCTGTGTAGATGCTGACAAGAGATCCTGTGATAACATGATACTGCACACGTGTCGAAATGGGTTGACACAAGGTAAGACAATTATTTTATTAATCTTATCTGATAATCACAGTGTGGGTGTATTCACTCTGAGCATGTTTAAAATATTTTCATTCCAAAAGCTCTTTCCAGTGTCCTGCCAAAACTGGGGCACAGGGGGAGAGGGGGAGGGGAGACATTGCTAGTTTGTAAGGGTTCTGCTTTTCTAGTTAAGCAACTCATTCAGGGGCTCCTGCTCAGCCCATGCACTTTTCTTTTTCTTGGAAGAGCATGGTTATGGACTGCAGAGGGACTGGAGTATATTATGACAGACCACACACGCAGAGGGAGCTACAGCTGGTGTGATGAAGCATGTAAGGGTTGTAACTAAAATAAATTGCACATCACTGAAACATCCCTCTCGTTTCACTGCAATAACCATAATCATTCAGTATGGAGGTCTTCATTATCTCTCGCTATCTCTGCTTTCAATATTTATTTGACATGGGAGTGCATTTAGACAGGAGAGAGCCCATATTTTCTTCCCCTACAAGATTAAATACACGAGGGAAAACACTCCGGAATGAATCACAGATATCTTTTAGTAAGCAGATATTTGAGTTTTATGAGTGCGTACTCATGTACTGTGAATAATATGCCAATTAGTACTCTTAGAACTACAGTGGGAATAGGACAATGACTGTGTCTGAGCTAAACAATGGTCTATGGTGGTAAACTGCTCTTGTGCTTTCACTCGTTTATCTCTCATGAACTGATAGTGAGTGTCATGTGAAGGTTGCAGAATTCAATGAAGGACTAGTGTAGTGTGAAATAGATGAGGACTCCAGATAGAGTGCTCATGCACGGTACTGAGATTTCTGTTGCTATTATCTTGTCTTTGGTACCAAGTGAGAGACTGACAGAAATACTAGATGTCAATTGCATACCTGACTTGAAAAGTCTTGTATACACGAAAAGTGAGCTCCCCTCAGAGTTTGAGTTCATCGTCAATCTTTGTGGACCACAACTCGACTGCCCTATTCACTCTCACTGCTCTCATAAAGCATCATTTTCAGCCCACACAAGCAGCTGTTTTCAGAATAAAAGCTGTACAAATGTAGATGGTTAAAAGAGCTAAAGGCAGGTGACTAGTGGATAAACTCAATTCCATAAACATTTTGCTCTCTTAACTGCTGGATGTGAAAATAAGCAACTGCCATACCAACTTGAAATGTACTGACAGACTAAATTGCATGTTTAATTTTTCCTAAAAGAAAAAATACAAGATTAAGAATTCCTGCAGTGTTACATTGCCTGGTTTGGTGTGCATGTACAACACTTTACTGCTTACCTCAAAATCCTCTGAGAATCCATGTTGGTTGTTTGAGTAGAGTTCAGAGATGTGTTTGATGAACTGCTTGACTGGAATGGCTTCCATGTCGTCTGTAAGAGATGAGAGCAGGGCTAAAACAGCATCCCAGTAACTATAACTTGCACATGAGCAAGTACTGGTACAGGGCAACTTGTACATTTGTCTATGGATGAACATATCTATTTCTCACTTCACTTGTAACATTGGTGGCAAAAGACAGAAATATACAAATCTGTTCTTTACTGACGAGACCGAGCAGACTGTACTGAAGAAGCCTCTTGGATGAGCGATGCAGCATTTCACTTAATCACATGTGGAGTTAATCATGTCGTTCCTGCACCTTAAAAAGTCACTACACCTTGATATCGTAATATTTTTTTGTGACCCAGGGGCGGAGGCTTCATAAGAAACAGAATTTGGTACACACCTATAGGAAACAAATATTTCCACAACAATTCCATGTTCTTCCAGTTTAAAAAGAAAATGAATAAAAATGACAGGGTTGAGGGCAAATGTAGGTCAATTCTTTTCAAGCTCAGGAAAGTGTCATTTCACTTGCAGAGCAAGTCAACAAAAAATAAGTAAGCTTGCATGAGTATTTTCTGTTGTTTAGTTGTTTTGTGGGCAGGTTTTTCCTCACTCGAACCCAGGGTCTAAGGACAGAGGATGTCACTACCTGCGCAGATTGTAAAGCCCTCTGAGGCAAAATGTGTTTTGTGAATTTGGGCTATACAAATAAAATTTGATTTGATTTGTTTCTGTGTTTTGTTGCTTGTAGGGTCTTTTAGTGTGACGGCACAGGACTGGGGCACCGGTTTCATCAGATGATATACAACTGCAAAGTGGTAGTTGCTCTTCCAGATGCTGCACTTGAACCACATGAATGGAGCCAGTTCAGTGAAAAAAACATGACACACAAGCTCTCACAGCTTCCCTCACTTTAGTCTTCATCAAATATTAACGAGGGCATACACTGGCTCACTTTCACTTTGTGTCTTATGAGATGTTAATTTAGCGATGCAAATATGTCAACATTATTTGTGTGTCAGTAAACACAGCTGGCTGCTGAGAGTTACAAGCAGAGGTCTCGAAACAATTAGCTGCATGGATAACTGATCCAATCTCTTTTTATTACTTGGACATATTTCACAGACAGTACACTCCTGTGCTCCATGGCATGTTGTGCATTTAATGGGCTTGTTCTTTTTGTCCTAGAATACACATAGCATGCAGCATTTATCTATCTATCTATAGCATTATGGAATATAAAAAATTATACTGAGGTAATGTCATTGTGTGTGTGTGTGTGTGTGCGTGTGTGTTTGGAGTTCAAGGATCTGTAAGTAGCTGGTTGTAAATCCAGCAGAAGGTCTTAAAGAGGATTCTGGAGTGTGCAAAGCTCAAGGTCTGAGCTTTTGACAATTAACACTGCTGACATATGGTCAGATAACACGTCCCTGTCTGCCTGCTGCTGTGACTCTGATGCCATCTCAGTGTGGCTGTCTGTACAGGAGGGTCTGTAAAGCTGTAGGCTTCCAACACTCACTGTAGCTGTAGCTCTAGGAGCCTGTTCCTGCTGGGGGTGTGACAGAGGCTCTTTTTGTCTGTGCTGGTCTCTGCAATGGTGGCCCTGCTGTGAATGAAGGCCTTTGGACTGAGCCAAGGCCCATTGATAAGATTGAAAAATATACTTTATCTTAATCACTTTGCAAGAACTGATCAAATATTCACACTGAGAGTTCAGACACTCCCTATTTGGTTTTACTACTACACATGTGCATTGAGTGTAGGCAACATGCTCACCATGTAAGATTCATGTTGTCTAATTGAATATCCTATTAAGATAGGACTTGTGCAATAAGTAACATATCTTCAGACGTTGTACAAGGGTACGCAGGCGACTGGCTCCTTGTTCATCTCAAATCCAAGAGGCTTCTTCAGTTCTAACTGATGCTGTTTTCAGACGTGCACTGGACACCACAGATCCTCCCTATTTTCTCCGGAGGAAGTGCATGTGTAAATGCAAATGTCTGAATGAGACACTCTACCGTTTCTACAGACTTTATCCGCCTCGCTTCCCAGTATAAAGTCAGTAGAAATTCAGGAGAAGTCGATGTGTGAACACAGCAGGAAATCCCCGCTGGATTCACTGCGAGTGAATGATGCTTTAAAGCGTGACAGACACAAAAATGAAAAAAACTAAAAGAAAACACATAACTCCCTGTGAAAAACAGCATCAAACACATAGAAGACACAGACGGACATGTCAAGAGAGTTTTTGGTGATAAGAGCTGACGACGCTGTTTGGTCACCGGAAGATGACACCAGTTGGCTCTTCACACTGGCTTATGACCTCAGACCTCTGAGCTAAGAATAGCCCTGACCCACAACCCCACAGTGGACGACCACCTAGCTAACTCTGTGGAGAAACACTGCACCAAAATACGGTAGAGAGATGCAATTGAGGTTGTACTATAGTGTTAGAATTCACACCACAGCAGAGGATTCAGTACCTTGCCTATAGGTCCGTAACCACAGATATGTATTTAGACAGCGATAGACAAGCAATCAAACAACTAAAATGGTATACCAGGCAGGCAGTTAAGCACAGTAATTATACGTTATACAAGTTCTTACCTGGGATGGAGATGACAGGGATCGTCTCATTGGGCACCACCCTGGGTGAATTGCTGTCCTCCACATAGAAATGGGCTGTCTGGAAACAGCGCCTGCCAGAAAGACAGAGAGATCACATTTTAAAACTTTGGTGGTTCTTGGTGAACGAAATGTTTACATCCTGTCCGTAACCAAACACTCAACATACTCAGTTTTTAAACACATTCACCAGTAGTTTAAGTGTTAATTACCCAAACTTGACTGAATCTTATCCGTAGAAATGGCAGATGAGAAAAATAAGTCAGAGCCAATAGCACTGGAATAATTTCCGGTGGAAGACTTCTTGCATTAAACAAACTAGTAGTTTGTAAAGTAGTTTTAAAGAGCAGGTTTGGCCTGGGCTTCAGTCCTATGACAGACCCCTTCACACATCTGCTCCTGAACTGGACATGAGCTAGACAGCATGATGCAGGTGATCTTTCAGAGTAAGACAGCATCACGTGTGTTTATGTGTGTGTGTGTGTGGAGAGACAGAGCAAGGGAGAGGTAAAGAGAGATTTGATAGTGGAAGTCAGCAATAAAGTGCTCCTCCCCTCAAAGTCAAACAGAAGGCAGTAATAGACTTTGAACTCCTGCATGCACACACACCCAGTATGTGTTTGAAGTTGGAGATACTGTATGAAGAAGCTGCTATGCAGTGGGAGAAAGTGGAGACACATCCTCCATCTTCATATAAAATAATTGTGAGCCGGTAGTTATATAGTAGTATAAACGTATTCAAACCTGAATAATAGAAGTAGAGGATCGGAAAATAGTCAGGAACTGATCTAGTCAGAGATCATATGGCTGGTTTAGAGCGCAATACTTAAAGTCCTATTTTGTTGTGATGTTTCAGTGTGTAGAATTTTGTGCCAGTGTTTATGTTGCTTATTGCAAACAACCAACCAGGAGAATTCTACAGTGGCCTTCAGGTACAATAAAAACATCAATAGTCCTCTCTAGAGTATGTGTTGTTTGTCCTTTGGGCAACTGTAGAAACGTGGTGATGCAACATGGTACACCTCATGCGAGACGAGATCATTCCAATAGAACAAAAAATATCCCATTGCTCTTCTTAAATCTAACACACTGGACCTTTAAGCTTTGATTATTTTATGGGAATGCATTGCTGCCCATAGAACGACCGACCAGAAAGCCATCATGTGTGACTTTTGAAGACAAGACAGAACTACTACCATCACCTAGAGACGAAGCCTTGATGAATGGTGGCTGATGGTAACCTGATTTTATCATACATATCGCAAAACAGCAGAGAACACCACTGTACTCTTAATCTTTTAGTATTACATACATTCTTTCCACCAAAAAGAAATCACAGAATCATACGAGTTGCTAAGCAGGACACAGTTTGTGTGAACTACGGAGAAAACATAATTCAGACATGAATTCCATAATAGTAGTAAAACAGCAGTGATTGCATGATAAAGCAAACATACAGAATCATTACAAATGTATCATCCATGAGAACTGTAACACTCAATTTGTTGAACAGTGTCAGGACTAGCATGTGACCTGTTTTCTATTCAACAACTACATGAAACTAAATGACAGTGTGTGCTACCACCTACCCTTTGCGGTGTCCTCATCTACCACTATCGCCTCCTGTGACAACAACAATTACTAAGTGTGTCCAGACCCCCCCCTACCTGTATTTGATACAGAGCAGAGAGCAGAGAGCGTTCATCCTGGTGAACAAGCGGCAGAGAGAGCAGACAGTCTGCCACATACATGCTGCTGACCTGAACTGACAGCCAGTGCACAGAGGAGGAGGGAAGACAGAGGGAGGGCTTTCCTTCCACAAAGGGGGCTGGTCCCTCGCAGTCTCACACACACACACACAGGACACTTTAAGGGACATTATGTAGATTTGCATTTCTAGGAGACTTACCTTAACCCTAACCATAATCACTGCTCACCTAACCCTAAACCTTCACTCTGGACCCCCCGAAACTGAACCTAGCTGGAACCATAACCACTTACCCATCTGCTCTTTTTCAAAATAGGACACAGCTTTTGTCTCCACTTGGACACGCCATACCCAATTAACTGGTCTCTAGGCTGAAATTTGTCCCCAAAGATAGCCTTTGACAGAAACCAACAAACAAACAAACACACACACACAAACATGAGGTCATCACACCATGCTGCATCTTTAGCAGTGACCCCTGATGCACCAAGATATTGTGTGGAGACCCGAGGTCTAGTGTTCTTCTTCATATTAGTCCCTGTAAATATTTGAAGTGTTGTGAAACTCATATTTACCTCTAAGACCTGAATGCAGCAGCTTGAGTAATGTGGGCTGTCCAATAAGAAAGCAGTGGGGGTGGAGTCTGTGCAGAACACAGGGTTGTGACCTGAGCTTTGCTCTACAATAGGATTAAATTCCCAAACACTCCCCCAGCACCTGTTGCTAGGCCTGTGTTTGTGTGTGGGAGAGAGAGAGATTATGTACTATATCATACGTAACAGTATTTTCAAAAAGAAGCCTGATTTGGTCAGTCTCAACAGAAATTATGTAAAGTAAATATTCAGGTTTGCAAAGAAAAGACAAGACTATAGTGGAGCTAGTCATCCACCAGGCACCAGGTTTAACACTATGTGATTACTATGTCAGCTTTGCTTACTGTCACATTCTATCTGTCTTCACATGCCACCAGTAATTAGCTTTGTGTTCCAGATTGCTGCAAGTCCAACTTAAATTAGCTAGTTAACACTAGTTATATAATCAGCATCTGATGCTTTATTTTCTAAAATTTAACAAGCGCACTGTCAACATGGAGATTGTAGAGGCTGGTGTGTAAATTAAAGGGAACTGGCCATAGTTTTTTTGAGCAATTTAAAATAATAATACACAGCTGCAGAAATAAATGAATTTTTCTTTATGTAAATATTTGGTAAAACTTGGCCAAGAAAGGATTTGCAACTATCAGTGTGTGACAAATGTGTGCCTATACAAGTTGCCACTATGCTACACTGTACAATTCTTCAAGCTTCCACCTGGCAGCCAATGTCAAAATACCATTTGTTAGAGGAACACAATATACATCACTCAAACATCAGCCAGCAAACAACAGGCGGGGTGTTATCATCAGACAACATGTACAGCCAATGATAATCAGAATAGCGCCAGGCTGAACCAATCATGTGGCACAATAGTGTTCGGTTGGTGCAAACAACACAGAGTGCACGACTAGCAGCTGAGAAAATTAGAAACGAAAACTCGAATGACAGCGTTACCGAAGAAGACAGTCCAAGGCTCCAAAGACGAGGACATCGTTGAAAAGAAGGGTCGGGAAATTTGGTGTTGCGGAGATATTTTGGCTATTTAAAGTCCGACAAGAAGCAGAGTAGCGTTCACTGCAAATTGTGTTGAAATCATGTTCCCACAAATACAGGTAATACCACTAATCTTTTTCACCATCTGAAGCAGAAATGAAAGTAATAGTAATCTGATTTAATATTCTACTATGATATGCAACTGATATAAAAAAAAAGTTTTATACTTTTTTTTTCCATATCGCCTGTTATGTCTCGTCAGTTATGTTAAGTTTATTCATATTTATGTTTAAGTATACCATGTTTGTGTTAGTTCATGTCTTGTGTGTTTGGGAGCAAGTTAAACTTCACTCATGTCTAGTCTCGTTGTGCACTTCCTGTTTTATTTTGGTACTCACCTCTCCCCTCTCATTTCAGATCCTGACTTCCTCCCTTTGTGTGATTTCCCGCCTTTGTGATCGTTTTCCCCGCCCCTGATTGGTTTCACCTGTTTCCTACTTCCTCTTGTATAAATAGTCCTCGTCTCCCTTTGTCCTGTGCCAGTTCGTCTTGTTCTGTCCCCATGATCAAGTAAGAGAATAAGCCAAGCCAGGAGTAAACTTCGTTCATGTTTAGTAATTCTTGTTTATCTCTTAGTTTTGTTTTGCTACTTTCTTTTGTTATCCTCTTCGTGAGCGCCTTTTGTTATGCACCTTTAGAGACTGAAAATAAACCTCTTTTTGTTATATCCACGTCTTGTCTGAGTCGTGCATTTGAGTCCAACAGTTTTCGTGCCTGAGGTCGTTACATCGCCCAGCCAAACTTTTCATCTAGATGCACACCACATCTCAGAAACAGAACCACTTCAATACAATATGAGAGATCAGAGTCTTATTTCAGATGTGTGTCGGTCACAATATTCTTCTCTCACAAAATTCATGAACTTTCTGAAGTGTATATGCTGACTAAAAATGGTAGTGATGAGTAATGCATTACTGCAACAGCAATACTTTTGGCAATAACTAGCAGGGTAACTTCTTTCTGGTTACTATAGTCTTGAGTAAAATGGGCAACTGCAGACTAAAGCAGACAATGCAGCCCTCTGCAGAGGTTTCCATGTTTCCAACGATTGAATCAACCAGTGTTATGAGTCATTTTCTCCTACAGGTATGAATCTTGTTTTATAATAGGGTGTGTATTTTATCGTTTCACTACTTTCATTATCAGAGTGGATTTGAGTAAGGTGATAAATACAATTTGCCTTGTCCCACACTGTGTCACATTTGCAGCAACTCTGAAATATGTGTGCACAGGTAAACAAATTGAAGCAAACTTAGAAAATGAGTAAACAGTAATCACAGTACGTAATCACTGTTTATGCAGTAACTAGTAACTTTAATTAAGTAATAATACCCGGTAACTTGCCTGACAGTGATTATAGCCATGGACAAAATAGGCCTTCCTGACTCTTTGGTCTGAAGCTGATCTAATACAGTCTGAAGAGCTCAACTGGGGTCAGCTCAAATGTAATTCCTGATAAAGACAGATTAGACTTTCTGTTAGAGTTGTTTGTTTTAAATCAATCAACCAAACAGAATATTAATGATACAGAGAACAGTCAGGCCTTCCTCTAGCTCATGTCAGTCTTCATTCAGTTTTTTTTATTTTCAAAAAAAGTTAAAACATACAAATGGGGAATATTCATCTTCTGACGGCTAAATTCAATTTGAATATGTATTAATGGACCAAGCTCAGTAATAATTCATATGCAACAAATGCTGCATCAGAAATGAAATTGTTCATCAACCCACCTTTCCAATCTCTAGACCTGCAAGAGTAGTTTGAGTGATTGTGCTGTTGTACTAACCTCCAGTAGACAAGCACAGCCAGCAGGAGGACAAGGCAGACGAAGGTTAGAGCTGAGACCATCAACAAAGGCACCAGCCACTCCACACGGCCCAGCGCCACCCCAGGACCTGGACTTACATGGCCAGTCAAGTTGGTCGCCACACTGTGATGATCTGTGGAAAAAAGATGGAGAAATGAATGCATCAAATAAATACATTCCACAGGATATTATGTGGGCAGAGTGGCTGTGGGAGGAGAGGCAGATTGAGGATTTCAGTTAGAAGAAGGCCATTTAGAAGAGAAGTATGATAAAGTATAATCAATTACCACTTATCTCCTTTTGTGGATCCAAGTTTATTGAAAAGAAATGAGATCAAGGTGTTTTATTAGAAAAAAAATATCCATGTCAAAGTCCCAAGTATGAGACCCTCTGCATTCATCTTATCATCACTTCCACATTCAAATCTGCTGATGGACATTTGTCTGCTTTCACAATCTAAGATGTGACTAAAACATATACACGAAGAAATAGTAAACAAGACTAATTACTGAAGTACATTCAGTCAGGGCCTGTTTGTTAGAATGTATGCTACTGATCAAGTGTTGATACAAACATCACTGGACATTTGCATACGGTTATTTAAAAAGTCAACAGAAACATGCAGCATAATTGATTTCTTAACACATCTGCAAATGAGAGCAATATTCATTATATCACTCAATTCTCTCTATTACTACTATTATTATTGCTGCAGATTTTCCAGAGGTGGAATTTGGCAGCAAACACCAAGAAGCAGTCACCAGGACTGTGTTATATCTGGTCGCTATGTGAGAGAAGTTGCATTTGCAGTAAGTGAGTGTGAGAGCAGCCGCAAGCTGGCAGTCTTCAAAACTTGTAAAACTGCAAAGCTGCTGTTCATAGAGATAGCAATGCTTTTAGGGTATGATTAAATGTCAGCATGAGAACAAAACTCAAATCATATACCATAGGCTATCTTCTGTAAAGGAACAGTCTGACATTTTAGGAAACGTCTTCTGACAGTTTTAAAGTTGTTGGAAGGTGGATTTTTTAAATGTATTTTAACTTTTAATGGAGCTGTGCTAACAGCTTACAATCTGCTGCTTTCATCTGACTCCCCGCTCCATAACTAATACATCTGGTGTTCTTTCACGTGAGCCTCTAAATCAGAACACATTTTCATGTATTGATTTATTCATCCTGCCATCGTGTGTCTATTTATTTTCTGTTGGACTAAGCAATCATATACTGTTAGTTGACACACTGTGATAGCAGCTTCTATAGGAAGAGATAT